ATGACCAAACCCTTAGTTTTTTCCCCCAAAAAACAAGAAAAAAAAAAAAAAAGCTTAAAAAAAAAAAAAAAAAAAATATGTATATATATATATATATATGTATGTATATATATATATATATATATATATATATATATATATATATATATATATATATATATATTGCCATCATGTTTCTCAAACTTGACTTTCGACATAATATGTAAGTAGTTGCTAGTTAATACGGCGATCATACTATTATATATCTAATTTTTGTTTCAGTGACATACAAAACCACAATGTTATAGGAAAGAAATACTCCAGAATTGCTATGCTACATATTTACCACTATATTATGTGTTAGTAAGATAAACAGGTCTGGTGATCAGATGAGACACTGTCCGGTCATCAGGTATAATCCAGACCTTCTGGACATGTCAGAGTCTCTCAGACCTCATAATAAAGCATCCTCACAGCTTCAGGCAATGAATGCCAAGTTTATTTGGTCAGCACTAATATTCAGGTAATTCAAAGCTCTTTGCAGAAAAAAAATATAGGAAGGGAAATGATTGAAGCATTAAAATCAAATACATTTTAAATGCCAGAGGAAACAATGTAAGAATTGTGTTTGATTAAAATGCAGGTTTAAAATTAATAACTGGCTAAAACATGATAAAATTATAAAGTAATAAGATAATCTAATAAATATTCCATCCACAATGGTACATAATCATTCAGCTCAACATGCTAGATGCTTGAAAATCAAAGGGAAATGAAGAGCTCTTCACACTTTCTGATTAACTTGGTTAATGACTATCTGAACACTTGGGGCCCTTCTAGAGCATCGTAATTAATTCTCAGGCAATCATTTCATCATTAGATGCTAATATATAAAACAAAATAGTGAAGTCATGAGAAAAATGACATGCAACTCACTATTAATAGTAAGCATCAAAAGTTTGCTTCATTAATGTATTTAGTTTTTGTTTTTTTATTTACCCTTGGTAGCTTATTTCAAACTGTTTATTTTTTTTGTTGCCCAAAATTAGTTGACATTTATATTTATATGTTTTATATTTTCTTTGATGCATGCAAGCTTATTGTGTGATTTTTGGATATATTTGTATGTGATTATATTTTGTATTCTAATAACTGTTTATAAAGAAAAGCAAAAAAAAAAAAAAAAAAAAAAAAAAAAAAACAACTTTTTTTTTAAAGTAAATATTTTTTGGTCCAAAAAAAAAAAAAACAAAAAA